GTTGTTTTGTGGAGATTTCTCCATTCTCACAGAAGCCGAAGGTGACCCAGAGCATCATCGCCAAATGCACCCAATCCAAGCGTGTGCAATTGAGTGTTCTGCCGCCCTTTGACTTTTCCTGGCGGATCTTATCGCTACAGGTAATTTTTATATTCAACCTACTTTATTATTATAAGTAGACATAGTAAGTGAATTAAAACCCTTTTCACCTCTAGCACGCCCTGATCACCACCGTTATCCCGGACAAGCCGTTTGTTCTAGAGGCCAGTTTACGAAATGCATCACCCTGGAACATCGAAATCGCATACGCGAAGCCTGTTTTAGTAAGTTTGCGGTAACGCGTCAGTGGTGAAACGGACTTAAACTTCTGGAGAAAATCATATTTGAACTACCAATATAACTTTTGCGATTGTTAAGGTTTTAGATTCCTCTTTTTTCACCTTATTCCCGACGCCTTTTGGCTTATTCTTAAAAAAACAGCCCGTTTTCTAAGCTCTGTGTACCTTCAACAAAGATTCCAATTTGCAGGGTCCTGGTGTTGATTTCCTGGATGGGAAAAGTGACCCTCAACTCACTAACGGTAAGTACTACGATTTGGCAGAATTTTATATATATTCTGAGAACTCAGGACCCTTTTTGCAATGACTGGAAACGGTTTCTAACTTGCTTTACTTGTATCTGGTACGGCTGCGGTCATGCCTCTTTAACCCCGCCCCGATAATATCACGAGTTGTACCTGCCCACGCACTGCGACCTTTTTTCACCAGCGACGGAGACCGAGTGCCGTGGTTCCAAAAATCGCTCTAACGTTTTGACTAATTGTGCTTGAGGTAGCTTTTTAATTGATCCCACATTCAACGTCGTAAAGTACCTAACGGTGCCAGATCGAGGGCAGCAACACCGTGCTCGTGAGGTGGATAACGAAGAGCGTTCCTTAACCACCTTAGTCTTCTTTCCTGCATGGCCTGAAATATACTCGCGATGTTTTTTGACGTAAATGCGGTCTGTCTCATTTGAGACAACGTTCGTGTACTTCATTGAACGGACGATTCTCAATCTGCGATGGTCAACTGCTTCCAACGATTGAGATGGGGCGTCAGGTCTATAGGCACGTTCAAACGCATGAGAAAACGCGGCGAGCAACGTCGATTCAGGAAACTGTTTAGCCAGTATTGTCCTGTACTACTTAAAACTGTCTACTTCTTAAAGTTGGCAACCATTTATTACCGAGAAATATCTTCTCTTGACCAGGGGTGCCACTCGAAAATACTTTGGTCAACCTAACGTTTTTCAGTAAGTCGACCGATTTGGCGACTTTATTCATCACCGACACCGTAGAATGCAGACCACCTTAGGCTTGAATTTAGCAAGACGATATCATCACCATAGCTGACATCAGACAGCCGCTGTCGGAGTGCAAACAAGTGCTGTCACTTTCGTGTAGGACCTTACCGAGAATCCACAAAATGGCGTAGTTGGACAAGAGATATGACATGATACAACCCTGTTGAACGCCAGACGAAATATCGAATGGCTAAAAGGGATTGTTATTAAGCATAACTCGTACTCTAGTAGAGCGCTAGTAGACATGGACCATGACAGTGATTTTTGTGGGTACACTAGTGTCATTGCCGACCACAGGGACTCGTGATAGATCGAATCGAAAGCAGACAACCCTCGGTTGCTGGCAGTT